AGATTTTTTTTTTCTTTTTTAAAGATGAGGTTTCTCCATGATGGCCAGGCTGATCTTGAACTCCTGACCTCAGGTGATCCACCCACCTCGGCCTCCCAAAGTGCTAGGATTACAGGTATGAGCCACCACGCCCAGCAAGATTTTTTAAAATGGAGCCAGGCACCATTTTTTAAAATGGAGCTGATGCCTGTAATCCCAGCACCTTGGGAGACTGAGGCAGGTGACCCAGTCTCCACTAAAGATACCAAAATTACCCGGGCATGGTGGTGAACACCATGTTGTTGGCCAAGCTGGTCTTGCACTCCTGGCCTCAAGTGATCTGGGCCAAAATTGTAACTGCCCAAGAGGTTCACCTTGCCCACTGCCTAGACAGAGCCAATTCATCAAGACGGGAATTTCAACAGAGGAGTAATTCACCCAGAAATGGCTGTGCAGGGAGGCTGGAGTTTTATCATTACTCAAATCAGTCTCCCAGAGCATTTGGAGAACAAAGTTTTTTGTTTTCTTTTTTTATTGATGGAGTTTCACTCTGCCACCAGGTTGGAGTGCAATGGCACTATCTCAGGTCACCTCCCTGGTTCAAGCAATTCTCCTGCCTCAGCCTCCTGAGTAACTGGGATTACAGGCATGAGCCACCACACCCAGCCAATTTTTGTATTTTTAGTAGCGATGGGGTTTCACCATGTTGGCCAGGATGGTCTCAATCTCCTGACCTCGTGATCTGCCCACCTTGGCCTCACAATGTGCTGGGCTTGCAGGTATGTGCCACCTCGCCTGGCAGGGGAACAGAGTTTTTAAGGATAACTTGGTAGGTAGAGAGAGAGCCAGTGAGCCAGGAGTGCTGATTAGACAGGGATGAAATGATAGGGAGTCAAAGCTGTCTTCCTGCACTGAATCAGTTCCTGGGTGCAGGATACAATACAGACAAGCCAGTTTATCAATCAGGGTGTTGCCAGCTGATCCACAAGGGTAGGTCTACAAAATATCTCAAGCACTGACTTTAGGAGCAGTCTAGGGAGGGTAAGAATCTTGTAGCCTCCAGCTGCCTGACTCCTAAACCATAATTTCTAATCCTGTGGCTAATGTTACTCTATCCCCCAGGCAAGAAGGAAGTCAGCTTTGAGAAAGAGCTGTTACTGTCTTTGTTTAAACTATAAACTACAAGCAGGCCAGGCTTGGTGGTTCACACCCATAATCCAAGCACTTTGGGAGGCAGGTGGATTACCTCAGGTCCGGAGTTCAAGACCAGACTGACCAACATGGTGAAACCCTATCTCTATTAAAAATACAAAAAAATTAGCCAGGCATGGTGGTGGGCACCTCTAATCCCAGCTACTCCAGAGGCTAAGGCAGGAGAATCCCTTGAACCCAGCAGACGGAGATTGTGTTGAGTGGAGATCAAACCTACATCCCGCGACTGCACTTCAGCCTGGGCAGAACAGCAAGACTTCATCTCAATAACTAAACAAATAAACTACAAACTAAGTTGCTCCCAAAGTTAGTGTAGCCTACGCCCAGGAATGAACAAAGACAGTGTGGCAGTTAGAGACAAGATGGAGTCGGTTAAGTTAGATTTCTTTCACTGTCTCAGCCATAATTTTGCAAAGGCAGTTTCAACATGGTGAAACCTCATCTGCTCAGTTACCTGGAACATGTAACTGAAAAACCTCATCTGCTCAGTTACCTGGAACAAACTAAAAATACAAAAATTAGCTGGGCATGGTGGTGCGCTCCTGTAGTCCTAGCTATGCAGGAGGCTAAGGTGGGAGGATCACTTGAGCTCTGGAGGCAGAAGTTGCAGTGAACTGAGATTGCACCACTGAACTCCAGCCTGGGTGACAGCAAGACTCTGTAGTAAAAAAAAAAAAATGGGGCCAAGCACAGTGACTCACGCCTATAATCCCAGCACTTTGGGAGGCTGAGGAGGGCAGATCATGAGGTCAAAAGATCGAGACCTTCCAGGCCAACATGGTGAAACCTTGTCTCCACTAAAAATACAAAAATTAGCTGGGTGTGGTGGTTCATGCCTATAATCCCAGTGACTCAGGAGTCTGAGGCAGAAGAATCACTTGAACCCTGGAGGCAGAGGTTGCAGTGAGCTGAGATCATGCCACTGCACTCCAGCCTGGCAACAGAGCAAGACTCCATCTCAAAACAAATATTTATTAATTTTTTAAAAACAGGGCCAGGCACAGTCACGCCTGTAATCCCAGCAGTTTGGGAGGCTGAGGCGGGTGGATCACAAGGTCAGGATGTTGTATTTGACCGGAGCGTGGAAAGTTATCACGAGACAAAAGTATGCCAGATTGCAGGGTCATTTATTATGCTGGCGACCACAGAGGACTCACGTCTCTCCAACCTGTGGTGCCAAAAGGAGGGTGCCATGATTTTTTATACCCGAAAAACCACCTTGGGAGTGGGGGTGAGGGGCGGGGATGGGGATGATAAGGTTTCGGACATTTCAAGGGCTAGGGGATTCTGTGATTCACCTCCTGGGTGGAGACAAGGGCGGGGGTCTCCGGACATTCCAAGGGCTAGGGGATTCTGTGATTCACCTCAGTGGTTTACAGAAGTCAAGATATACATTTGTTTACACATCACAGATTTTAGCAGTTACTGATAAGAAAAGGTAAGCAGCTTTACATAGTTTTGAAGAACAAACTAGCAGTTCTATTTACAGAGGCCAAGGACAGCAGTTATTGTAATGAGAATGGGGCAGCCATTTCAACTTATCTAAAAACAGTTTTGCATTTTATAAAATAGTTTTGCTCCGGTTCTGGCTCTAGGCCAGCACAATATCACAAGGAGATAAAGACATTTTTGGATTTCAAATTTTTTTGAGACAGGGTCTCACTCTGTTACCTAAACTGGAGTGCAGTAATTTTATATATTTCAAATCATATTGTATATGAAGCTAACACAGTGAAACCCCATCTCTACTAAAAATACAAAAAATTAGCCGGGCATGGTGGCATGCATCTGTAGTCCCAACTACTCCAAAGGCTAAAGCAGTAAAATCGCTTGAACCTAGGAGGTGGAGGTTACAATGAACCGAGATCGAGCCGCTGTACTCCAGGCTGGGAAACAGAGCAAGACTCTGTCTTTAAAAAAAAAAAAAAAAAAATGCTTGGGACCAGAGGTACTTCTGATTATGGAATTTATTTTTTGGATTTTGGAATATCTGCATACACATAGTGAGATATCTTGGGAATGGGTCCCACGTCTAAATAATTTATGTTTTATATATAGCTTATACACATACTCTGAAGGTGATTTTATATATTTCTTTTTTTTATAAAGGCGGGGTGTCACCATGTTAGTCAGGCTGTCTTGAACTCCCGACCTCAGGTGGTCCGCCCACCTTGGCCTCCAAAGTGCTTGGATTACAGGCGTGAGCCACCACGCCCAGCCGATTTTATATATTTCAAATCATTCTGCATATGAAGCAAAGTTTTGACTGTTTGACTACGGTCTGTCACATGAGACCAGGTGAGGAATTTTCTACTTGTGGCATCATGCTGGTGCTCAAAAACTTTTGGATTCTGGAGCATTTTTGGAATTCAGATTTTTTTTTTTTTTTTTTGAGAGTGTCTCACTCTGTTACCCACGCTGGAGTACAGTAGCACAATTACAGCTCACTAGAGCCCGATCTGATGGGCCCAAGGGATCCTCTCACCTCAGCCTTTTGACTAGCGAGGACCACAGGTGTGTACCACCACACCTGGCTAATTTTTTTTTTTTGAGACAGAGTTTCGCTCTTATTGCCCAGGCTGGAGTGCAATTGTGCAATCTCAGCTCACTGCAACCTCCACCTCCTGGGTTCAGGCAATTCTCCTACCTCAGCCTCCCAAATAGCTGGGATTACAGGCATGTGCCACCACGCCTGGCTAATTTTGTATTTTTAGTAGAGACGGGGTTTCTCCATGTTGGTCAGGCTGGTCTCAAACTCCTGACTTCAGGTGATCCGCCCACCTAGGCCTCCTAAAGTGCTGGGATTACAGGTGTTAGCCACCTCGCCGGCAACCTGGCTAATTTTTATATATTTTGTAGAGATGTGGTTTCACCACGTGCCCAGGCTGGTCTCAGACTCCTGAGCTCAAGGGATCCACCCACCTTGACCTCCCAAAATGCTGGGATTACAGGCGTGAGCCACCACACCTGGATAAATTTTGGAATTTTTGATTTTTGGATTAGGGATGCTCAACCTGTATGTGGAAAACAGGTGCCAGGAAACAGGATCTCAATGAGTGAAGGAGTCAGGTGCTATGCAGAGACACAGAAAGGAAGAGGAGTGTTTCAACAGACTATGACAGGTGGCCAGTAAAAGACTTCCAAGAATAAAAATATATTACTTAGGCTGGGTGCAGTGGCTCACCCGTATAATCCCAGCATTCTGGGAGGTCGAGGTGGGTGGATCACCTGAGGTCAGGAGTTTGAGACCAGCCTGGCCAACATGGTAAAACCCATCTCCACTAAAAATACAAAAAATTAGCCAGCCATGGTGGTAGACACCTGCAATTCCAGCTACTCAGGAGGGTGAGGCAGGAGAATCTCTTGAACCCCAGGAGGCAGTGGTTGCAGTGAGCCGAGATCATGTCATTGCACTCCAGCCTGAGCAAGAAGAGCAAAACTCCATCTCAAAAAAAAAAAAATATATATATATACATATATATATATAATTACTTAGGTTAAGTTTGTGGGTGACAGAGGAAGGAAATAGACTCAAATCAAGCCAAAAAACAAAGAGAGCGGGTATGGAGTAACTAATATTAAACAAGAGTTAAGTAAATCTTCAAATGGAGATTTGGGATAATAATAGTATGGCGATCAGATTCCACTAGATATATTAAGAATCATATAACCATTTTACTTTAAAATGTCAATATTAAAACATACCAGAAATCATCTTTTGCAACTATCTAAGCTTATGATGAAAAACTTTAAATAGCAACATAAAACTGTGGAGTGGATATGTAGCTTTTCAGAAATGAGAGCAAACATCCAAAGACTACTTTATTACATAAATATGGGAATGGGAGACTGGCCCAGGAATGAAATAGCAGGAGCTTAAGCTTTTGAGAGGTCTTGGGGAAACTAAAAGATTCTAAGGTTCGGCACAAGGGCTGAGGGAGAATGCCCAAAAAGGGATTCAAGCGGGGCCTTGAATGCCAAAGCTTGTACTATACTTCATGTATGTCAGAGGATAGCAAAGGGCGAGTCACAGAGCTGTTTAGCAGGCTGAATGGACAAGAATAGTTTAATGATTGGATATGGGGATTTGGAGACGAATGAAGTCTAGGATGATGCTCAGGCCTTTGGACTTACCACTTGGATGGAGCACAGAGAGTAGGTGGACTGGTTTAAAGCAGAAACCAAGTATTTATTCTAGGAAATGTCAAGTTTTAGCAGCCTATGAGGCATCCATGTGGAGAAAGGTGGCAGGTGGTCTCCAGCTGAGGAGAGAGGTCAGAGAGACGAGTTTCCAGGAAGGAGCAGCCAAATCTCAGAGGCTCCTGAGAAGATTAAGACCCAATTATCCATCCAAAAGCGTATCCATCCACCTAAATATTACTCAGTAATTTATTTTTATTGAGACAGGGTCTTGCTATGTTGCCCAGGCTGGTCTCAAAGTCCCTAAGCCTCCCAGTGCTGGGATTACAGGCGTGAGCCATGTTGCCCTGCATACTCAGTGATCTATCAATCATTTTACTCAATAGTTAATTCACACGTACATCCAGTTCCCACAGTGAATTCCATCCATATGCCAAGGTCTCTGTGAACAGGAAGCTGAGCGACCTGAAATCACAGCCCTGAGCAAAAAGGGAGGTGAGCGGTCAAGACAGATACACCCATACCTGTGATGTAGGGCTTGGGAAAGGTGGGCCTCCGGAGGCAGGTGAACAGGAAAAGTGGTTTTCCAGGTCAGGCAGCTGTTGAACTGGACAGGGGAAATGGCTCACAGTGGTCCTTTGGAGAGAGGATGAGAATTTGGATAGGGAGAAAAGATTGAATACGTGAGATATGGAGAAACTAGAAGGATGGGCTCTGACTGTGGGGGGACAGGGAAGCAGTTTGCCTAACTTCCCTTGGATCAAGTCAGACTGTATGCTGAGCGCTGTGATTTTGGAGCACTGTCCATGTCCTCGAGGATGTCATAGCCTGAGGGGCTGGCGCACATTTCAACAGGTATCTCCATATGACTGTGCTTAGTGGTGGCCTGTGCTACCGCGTGGGAAAGAGACCGACCTGAAATGAGAAATTCTGAAAGGTTAGAAATGGTGGGGGAACGGAAAATTTATGTGAAGTGCCTGCAGGATATGAAAGGGAGGTGCCCAAGAGCTGAGAAGTCTGGTATGGGGAAGCATGAATAGGAGTTGCACCAGGGTGCTAAGAGGTGACGTGTGCAGTAGGAGGAAACCACTCGAGTTCTCCCAGGTGCGGAACGAGCAAAGGTTGATAACAAGTGGCTTCGCCTGGCATCTTGAACCCTTATGGCTTCTTCTCTTGCACAGGTCTTCATTCTCACCCTGCTACAAAGCCCTTACCAGAACGTTCTGAAATGCAAACCTAACCCTAACAACTGTCTCACCCCAGCAAGGAGTGAGTCAACAGGAAACGCCCTCTGCAGGGTTGCGGGCCTCACTCCTCGAGCCCATCCCTGCCGGCCCTGAGCTCGCCCCCAGTGCTGGCCCTGCACATCAGCTATCCCTCCCAGCCTCCAAGGTCCCGGTTACTGAACACCGCCACCAACACGACCACATGGCGCAGCACAAAGAGCCAAACAAATGGACTAAGACGCCGGCAAAAAACTAACCGGAGACGCGCGTATTACAGGGGAAACGGCTGCGCAAGCGCAGAAGAGCAGGGGCGTGAGCGGCACTTCCGGTAAGCCGGAGCAGCCAATCCACTCGCAGAGGGTCGGGACCACTTCCGCGGAGGAAAGCCCCTGGGCCCTAGCCTTCTGGGCCCTCGCCTCTCTGGCGACTTCCCTCGCGGGCCCGCCTCAACGGCAATCCTTGGTGCTGATTGGTTGGCCGCCAGAGCAGTCCTCCTTCGATTGGCTCTCTCATGGCCCCTTGAGGGAGGGCCGCCTAGAGGCCATGGAGTCGTTTCTGGCGGCCTAAGTGGTCCTAACTTCTGGAGTCCCGAGGGTCGTCGCTGCCGGGTAGATCTCAGTGCCATTTCCGTGCGACCTTGTCCTTAGGGCTCAGAGCCCCCTGCGCTAAGACCCCGGCCCATCTCTGCCCTACACGCGGGAGTCAGCCTAAGGCCGAGCGCAGGGATATCAGCCGCACCTGACGCTGCTCGCCGCCCTAGCACAGGCAGGAGTTGAGCGGAGTCGGCCGCCTCCTTCCCCAGAGCCCTCCAAGGGAGTGAGCTCCACATCCGTGGGCCCGAGGAATGCGGAGAAATGGGAAGAACAGGGGGACTCCGGGGGCAGGGGTCCAGGCAGGAGTCCAGTAGTCCTCGTGGAGACAGCTTGGAGAGGCCTTGGGGCAAGGAGACCTCGGTGTTCCTCCTTTGCCACAGAGAGCCTCAGCCTCTGATGACCACGCACAGGCAGCAAGGGAAGTGGGTGGTCCACGATCAGCCTTCAGTATACATTTGTGGCATTAATCCCTCCCAGGCCAGTTGTGAAGAAATCTCACTAACCTCAAGATTCAGAAGTGCCATTCACAGCTCAAGTTCTGGAGTCAAATCCAGGCTGTTAACTTGCCGTGTGCACCTCCGACTTACCCTCTTTCTGCCTGTTTGCTCATCCGTAAAGTGGGAACCACGACTGAGTCCACTTTGAATCTGATTATGCTGCATGTACTCAGAAGACAGGGCTCAGCTGAGTGACTGCTCAGTTTACAAGAGCTATTACTGTAGTTGGGAAGGGCCCTAAGATCGGTAGCCTAGGAGAAAGGGGGCCACCATGAGAGAGACCCCAGAGGGAAACTGTTCCGGAGAAGAGAAATGTCTTGGCCGGACCCGGTGGCTCACGCCTGTAATCCCAGCACTTTGGGAGGCCGAGGAGGGTGGATCACGAGGTCAAGAGATCGAGACCATCCTGGTCAACATGATGAAACCCTGTCTCTACTAAAAATACAAAAAATCAGCTGGGCATGGTGGCGCGTGCCTGTAATCCCAGCTACTCAGGAGGCTGAGGCAGGAGAATTGCCTGAACCCAGGAGGCGGAGATTGCGGTGAGCGGGGATCACGCCATTGCACTCCAGCCTGGGTAACAAGAGCGAAACTCCGTCTCAAAAAAAAAAAAAAAACTCTGACTTCCATTCTTTATAATCCGTACTTCCTGAACAGGCTGTCCTTAACCTTTACACTTAATAAACTCCTTTAAAACAAAATCTGACCTGTTTGATTATTGTAGATTGACAGGCTGAGAGTATGTACCTCCAAGGACCTCTGTGAGGGCTAAGTGCAGTCATATATGCAATGAGCTCAAGTAAACAGCGGGCAGAGGAAACACCTGGACATCTCCTCTGTGCTAAGCCCCCAGCATGCACACAGACACAGCCACGGCAGGCCCAGGCCCCAAGAGGCTGCCTGAACTTCAGTGTGATTCTGCTTCTGAACAGACGTGGTAGGCATAGAAAGGCCAGTCAAATGCAGAGTGTCTTTCTGGCCTTCCCCTGACCAGAAGTGCTCTCCCTGATAACTCTGCCACCAGTGGCTCAGGAGAGTCCCTGCATACAGGAGCATTGACTTTTTTTTTTTTTTGAGACCGAGTTTCACTCCTGTTGCCCAGGCTGGAGTGCAATGGTGCGATCTCGGCTCACCGCAACCTCTGCCTCCCAGGTTGAAGCAATTCTCCTGCCTCAGCCTCCTGAGTAGGTGGGATTACAGGCATGTGCCACCATACCCGGCTAATTTTGTATTTTTAGTAGAGACAGGGTTTCTTCATGTTGGTCAGGCTGGTCTCGAACTCCTGACCTCAGGTGATCTGCCCGCCTCCGCCTCCCAAAGTGCTGGGATTATAGGCATGAGCCACTGTATCCAGCATTTTTTTTTTTTTTTTTTTTCCCCAGACAGAGTCTTTCTCTGTCACCCAGGCTGGAATGCAGTGGCACAATCTGGGCTCACTGCAACCTCTGCCTCCCAGGTTCAAGCGATTCTCCTGTCTCAGTCTGGGGTGCTGAGACTACAGGCACCCATCATCATGCCCGGCTAATTTTTGTATTTTTAGTGGAGACCGGGTTTCACCATGTTGGCCAGGCTGGTATTGACCTCCTGACCTCAGGTGATCTGCCCACCTCAGCCTCCCAAAGTGCAGGGATTATAGGCGTCAGCCACCCCGCCTGGCAAATATTTTATATTTTTACCCAAGTGACTGCTTTATATTTTTTTCCATTTAAAAGTATGTCTGGGGCAGCTTGGTGGGGGCCCTGCGCCACGTGCTGCCTGTAAAAAGGAAAAAAAAAAAGTATGTCTGGGCCAGACACAGTGGCTCATACCTATGATATATATACATACATATATGTATATTATATGTATATATGTATATATACACATGCATGTGTATGCGTGTATATATGTATATTCATGATGCTTGAGAGGCTTGGGAGATATTTTCAAGTCAGTATACAGAGTTGTTTCAAAAAGGGGGCCACACTCTCCAGCCCCCTACCTCCCCTCATGTAAGCTCAGGCAAGAGATCAAGGACAGTGCCCCTCTCTCCATTTGCCAACAACCAGCCTGCTCAGGAGAGGCCCTGCCAGGCCATGTCCTGCTGGGGGGCTTCCCATGGAGACAGAGGACTCCATGTCTCTGGGAGAGAGATGTTTTCTACCCAGCCCAAAGTTCCCTCAGCCATTTAGTCCCCAAGGACCCCTCTCCAAACCCAATTCTCTGTTCTCACCTTGACCACCCTCAGTGCTATGCCCCAGGCCTAACCTTCCATTACTAGTGAAACCAACTCCCCTTTCCACCTGAACATAGAGGGAGCCCTGTGGGCCTGCCTGCTTGCTTGATTATGTGCAGAGGGTCTCATAGATCCCCTGGAGAAATCAAAGGAAAGTAGGCCCTTGACTCTTCCTCCCTCTCATGCTCCTTGCAGAGAGTGTGCTGGTTCCTGCCCCTGCCACACCCTCCACTCCCCGCCAGCCATAGGCACAGCTCCTGCTCCGCGCTTTCCATCTGTCTAAACCCTCTAAACCGACAGGGCATGGTGGTACACGCCTGTAATCCCAGCACTTTGGGAGGCCGAAGAGAATGGATCACCTGAGGTCAGGAGTTCAAGACCAGTCTGGCCAACATAGTGAAATCCCACCTCTACTAAAAATACAAAAATTAGCTGGGCACAGCAGTGTGGGTTTGCACCTGTAATCCCAGCTACTTGGGAGGCTGAGACAGAATTGCTTGAACCTGGGAGGCAGAGGTTGCAGTGAGCCGAGATTGTGCTACTGCACTCCAGCTTGGGCAACACAGCGAGACTCTGTCTCAAAAATAAATAAATTAATTAATTAATAAATAAATAGACAAACCATCTAAACTGCCATTGCCCTCCCTAACCCTCCCAGCCCAGAGACCCCCCTCCCTTGTCAGCCATCCAGGGACAAGTGTCTCTCATTTGGAAAAAATTAGGGAGGAGGAACAGTAGAATAGGGAGGACTGGGGTCCTCCACATGCCTGTATGGGGTGAGTTTCGGCCCAGCATCAAGGCAGGCCTGTGGTCCACAGAGAGAGGCAGCCACTCCTCAGCCTGGGGTGGCTATCCTCCTCCTGACCCCATCTCTCTGCTGTTGGGGAGGCTAAGTGGGTGTTAGGGTCCTGTCAGAGGGGGAACCACCCCCAGGGGTGCCCATCAGCCACCAGCCTCCCCTCAGTGGACATCCAGTCCAAGTGACAGCAGTGGCACAGCTGAGCACAGGGAGCCTCATGGCCAGTGCCTGGCTCCTGGTCTCCTCCAGGGTCCCCAGGACACCCTCACACAGACATCCCAGCACCCCTGCAGCTGGCAAAAGAGCCTAGAAACGTCCTGCCCAGCACGCTCTGGGCCCCTCTTTTAGGATCTGGGTGGGCTAAAGAAGCCAAAAAAGGGTTTGCAGCCAGGCCTGCCTCTCCCCCACAGCCCTGGGTGTGTCAGGCCGGTCAGCCTGAGTCTCAGGAAGCCTGACCAGTTCCCTCTCAAGTAGCTGGGATTACAGGCGCCTGCCACCACGCCCGGCTAATTTTTCCCTGGGCGGGGCTGTGGGGTTTAAAGAGCCCAACCCACCTGGGCCGTCCACAGCCCAGCAGCGTCCTCAGACCTGTTCTCTGCACCGCCAGCTCAGGTGAGCCCTCACTCAGGTGATCTCGAAGGTGAGCAGGCATCCACTTTGGGGATGCTAGGTGAAGGGGGTGGCTGCCCAAGAATTTAATGAGGAGCCTGTTGAGGGGTCTGAGGACAGATAGGGCTGCAGGTGTCACTTGGAGGCCTCCTGTGTTGCACCCACTGTCATATGGACGGTGGGTTGGGGACTGAAGGAAATAGGAGCCAGCCCTTGGCTAAAGAATATGTGAACTGGTGGTTTGTGCCTATGGTCCCAACTGCTTGAGAGACTCAGGTGAGCAGATCACCTGAGCCATGAGAGTTAAAGGCTATGGTGAGCCGAGATCACACCAGTGCTCTCCATCCTGGGTAACAGAGCAAGACTCTATCTCAGAAAAAAAAAAAAAAAAGAATATGTGACCTAGAGTTGAGACCCTCCTATTCCAGGAACTCCAGGTTGGTGGAGGTAGCACCAATGAAGGCTGGTGGAAGCCAGCTTTGGAGACTGCTTCTAACCCAAGAACCCATGTTCAGAAGCAGTGTCTAACAGTCTGTCTCTCCAGTGCCTCCCTCCTGCTGCAGAAGGAGTGTGTGTTTACTTATGGATGTATTTATTTTTTATTATTTATTTACTTATTTATTTTTTGAGATGGAGTCTTACTCTGTCGCCTAGGCTAGAGTGCAGTGGCAAGATCTCAGCTCACTGCAACCTGTGCCTTCTGGATTCAAGCAAATCTCCTGCCTCAGCCTCCTGAGTAGCTGAGATTACAGGCATCTGCCACCACGCCCAGCTAATTTTTGTATTTTTAGTAGAGATGGGGTTTCACCATGTTGGCCAAGCTGATCTCAAACTCCTGACCTCAGGCGATCCACTCATCTCGGCCTCCC